AAATATAAATATAAATATAAATATAAATATAAATATAAATATAAATAATATAAATATAAATATAAATATAAATATAGATATAGATATAAATAAACAAACCTGGGCTTCTGGCCAGTCAATATCAGGACTTACAATGACACAAAATGTCATAACATCCAAAATATTAAAGATGATCTTTGAATAAGGGGGCCATAAATTAGTATCTTATAATATCAACACTGTCATTAATGATACCTATCAACAAACTAAAATACATTAATGAAGGAATGTCAGATGGGGAACAAATTTTATCTGACAAGGCAGAGAAAGTACCAAAAGAGGAACTATAAGTGAAGGGCCAAGAGATCCTTGACTTACGACCACAATGGAGCCCAACATTTCCATTGCGATGCAAGACAGTTATGTGATTTTCCCCCTATTTTGCGACCTTTCTCGTCACAGGTGCTGAGTGAAGCACTGCAGCTGTTAAATGAATAACAGGGCTGTTAAGTGATTCTGGTGCCTCCACTGACTTTGCTTGTCCCCGTGACCCCCGGGGACACGGCAGCCATCATAAAAATATGCCAACTGACAAGTGCCCAGATTCTGATCCCATGACCACAGGGAGGCTGCACCGTTTGCAAGTAAGAAAAAAGGAAGCGACTTCATAAGTCACTTCTTTCAGTGCCCTTGTAACTATAAACAGTCATTGGACGAATGGTTGGAGATCAATGACCTTTTACTGGATATACAAAAGAAACTGACTGAAGTTTTAAAAATTAAACAGAAAATACAAGGGAATGACCTAGAAAACGTGTTCTTATTAGATGTACAATAGAGACTTTGTTGAAGAAATCTGTGCAATGGGATAAAGAGGAATTGAGAAATTAAATCCCACAACAATATTTGAATGAATTAAAGGTTAAGATTGTCTGAAGTGAAAGCAAGGAATATAAAGTTGGTTTATGTGATCAAGATAAAATAAGAAATGAATATGCTCACTCTAAAGTTGAAGGAGAAAGAAGACTCGGAATATTTTTTAATTTGGCACAAATGGTATGATTGGATAATGAATAGAAATAAGAAACAAGATGTGAAGATTAATTTGTAAGAGACTTCAAGAAAATGAATTGTAGATATGTAGAGTATATAAGAATATAATTATTGATAAGGATGTTAATTAGATATTGACAAATGTATATGTAACGTATTAAGATTTGTAAGATAAAAACTTTTGTAGGGTGTCAAAAATGCTGTTGAAAATATGATTTGAGTTGTAATGATGGAAATACAATAAAAATATATTTTTTAAAAATGTTATGTTTGGCTATTCTTTTTGGACTTTCTGCTGATACCAGGACTGCAAAGATTATGCTTTTTGAAAAGATAAATTTTTGTAACCTTAGAGGGGATGAAGCTAAACATTTTAAGCGTCTTATAAATAAATGAGGCAGGCAGAAAGGAACCAAGAGCATTTTTCACCATTTAAAAAAGTGGGAGCTTCTTTAAATAAATTAATGGAAGGCTTTTGTGTTCCTTCTCTTCGGTTACTTAAAGCAATCTTGCAAACCATGGGGAATGAAGAAGTACAGGACAATCCAAAGGTTAGGAACGCTAGAAGGGAATGAAAACTGAATGAAAGGCAGAGAAACAGTACAGAAATAGCTTTTGGAAATTCCAAGTCTTTATAACGAGATTTCTTTCTAATAGGAATAAGTATTGTATATTGGTAAAAGTCAACCTGTTACTGCCTTTAGCAACCACTGAGAGCTTCACTGCTATCCATAGACCTCTCAAATTTCTGGAGGTCTAGTTTGTAGCCCTCACGACAGCAAAATATAAATATATAGGGCTGTTTGTGAGGGAGCCAACCTTACACAGGATCTTACTAGAGCCAGATGCTTGCAATTCATTCCTCTCCAATCTGCTTCAAAATCAGTCCTGGGACTCCACCAGATATTAGACCACCAGTGTATCTATACTAGTAATGGTACTTTAATGTCAAATTACAGACATCGATTTCTACACCAAGTGGGTCTTCTCTTCATCAAAGAGAGCCCATGAGGATTCTCATGCAAGATTTCAGAGGAGGAAGCCAATAATTTCAGCTAAACTTTTTCTCTAATGAAAAGTCTTCTTTTGTGCTTTTATGGGACTGCCAAGGAGGAGAAAGAGAAATCACAGAGAACACCAAGAAACCAGACTTGCAACAGATCATTACGAGGAGACGACAATATATTCCCCTATCACCTGAAAATTGGATCTTTCTAGGTCCCATCAGCCCTGCACTTTCTCCAGCCAAAAATCTGGAAAATGTTCCCCTTCTTAAAATGGAAAAACACTACTTTATGGCTTTGAGGAAAGCAAAGCATTGCAGCCCTTCCTATGACCTCACCAAAACATTCTGCAACTTTTTTTTTTCTTCCTTACCAAACTGGATCTCAGGTATTCTCCGCTATCATTGGCTTTTAGAATAGAACAGAGCTGGAAGAGACCTTAGAGGTGCTCTAGTCCAACCCATGCTCGAGCAGGAGAACCTACAGCATCTCAGATTAAAGGGCTGCTCAGTCTCTTAAGAACCTCCAGTGACGGATCACCCACAATTTCTGGAGGCAACTTCTGTTCCACTGGTTAATTGTCCTCCCTGTTAGGAAGTTTCTCCTTAATTCCAGATGTTTTTGTTTTAATCTTGAACCTGAAAAAGTCTCTGGATGCTTGCAATGCACTGATTAATCCTGCAATTTCAAGTAGGCCAGTGGTGCCCTTCTTACTATTAAGACAGCGTTTTTCTCAAATTTGGCAACTTCCCAACTTCCCCGGTCTGCAAGGAGATTGAAGTTCACACATTTTCAGGTCACCAAACGCTGAGAAACACTGTATTAAGGACTCAGTCAAAACTCCAAGGATGCCCGAGAGCAAAATGGGAAGACTTACTTCTTCCTCCAGCTTCACCACCTTGGCCTGCGCGTTGTTCAGGGCCTGGTCCCGGATCTCAATGTGCCTCCGTTGCTCCTCATTAGTTGAGCGAACCCCGGCCAGCTCCACCTCCAGCTTCTCCTTTTCCCGCTGGGTTTCTTTATCTGTGCAGGGAAGGGGGGGGGGGGGGGGGGGGGGAGAGAAATACGGCTTTGAGAGTAGAGTTCAGAGGGCGAGCGATGAGCTTTGCAATGAAGGGAAACGTGTTTCAAGCCCATTTTTCAAACAATAATGACGACACTCTGATTGTCATAGGAGGGCATGAATTGCATTTCTTCAATTATGTTTCGGAAATTAAGCAGTACTAAACAAAGGAACACTCTCTCTCTCTCTCTCTGCGTGTGGTTGTGTATGTTTGCACAGGGCACATAGGTATGTATGATTTGGGATCTCTTCTTTCAGGAAATCCTGTTTGCCAGAATCTGCAAGGAGGATAGGAAACAAGAATTCTTCCCTTCCGATGCTGTCCAGCAGCTGATGGTAGAGGGTCCCTGATGCTCTATTTTCCCTGAAGCCCTCATAGCTGCTTTTACTAACCTCGCCACCAAGAACGGAGAACCCCAAAGCTGCCGGGAAGAGTATGTGGCTGCCTCTTGGCAGAAATGGAAGATGACCTGATCTAGTTCTAGGCAAGTTCGTTCCGTTCTGCTTCCAGCATCTGGCATCAATCAACAGCTTTCCCACATTATTTCTACATTATAAGGAAGAGCAAAGCAAAGGCTGATGGGAGGCCTTTGCCCTCCCTCCCACATGGTCCACTGTGCACAATGACCCCTCCAGAGTTCTGCCCTTTGAGACCGGCAGGCAGAGATGGCGGGACAGCAGAACCACCAGGGAGCATGACGCATCCAGCCCGCAGGCCAGGAGTCTGACAGCCCTGAGACAGAGCATCAGCAAAGGAAGTGTTGCGTGACACTTGACGTCATTTTTGAGGTTCAAAATGTTTTGCCCAGTTAAAGGTTACGGACAAAAGGGTTTGAGCTGTATATTGACCGTTCTAAATCAACGGTCTCAGCCCAACAGGTGAACCTCAGCATGAGGAAGGGGGAAAGCAAGTTGGCTCAGAACGCCTTGTGTTTTCCCAATATACCTGGCCTTCCCCTCCAGGCAGCCGAACACAGCAGAGCAGGAATGGCAGCTGAAATGTCTAAGTGAATACGAGAAGGAGTTCTCTTACTAGCAGGAGACCAAGAGTCCTTGTTCCCAGCTCTCCCCAACTTCCCCTGTTCTCCTGGGAATTTCTCAAGCCTACTTTCTTCTGCTTTCAGCGCTTTGCAAAACAATTAACCACAGGAAATGTGATGGACTCACTTTGTGCGAAGAGCTGGGAGATGGTTTTCCTGTTATCCTCTGTGCCCTCAAATTCTTTCTCTGCAAGTTGCTTATTAGCGCTATCCATACGCTCTGCAAAGGAAGGAGAAAGGCTGGGGTCATTGAACTGTTAGGGCTGATCCATTAACCGTCCTACCCCACGTGTGTCATCCCTCCTGCCACCTTGCACGAGTGCCTAGCGAGGGGGGCTGGACGGAGAGAAAGAAAGCGACTGCAGCCCAAGTCACCCAGTGAACTTCCAGGGCTGAAGAGGAGTTGGAACACGGGTCTTCCTTGGTTGTCCTGGACTTGCTCATCCCTAACCCAAGGGCTCTATGGAAAGCTACCCAAGCAGTTAACCTTTCATGCCATTCAACGAAGGAGACAGTATTTCACCCTCTAATCTACATTTAAGAGCTGCAAGGTCAGGCAAAACTCTAAAAAAATGAGCAATGGCACATGAATATACCGTATATATGGATATACAGGGCATTCAGAAAGAAATCAGTAATCGTTCAGAGTTTGTTCCTTACAGTCTGGGGGTCCTTCGTGCGCTTTTTTTTGCACATGAAGGACCCTCAGACTGTAAGGAATAAACTCTATGTGCTTTTTTTTTTTTTGCAAACTCCAAGCAGGCTTTCATGTGTTTTGCACTGAGGAGGAGAGGCCCCTCCGCCGTAAAGCCCAGATTGGTGGACTGCTGCAGTGATGGTTGTCCTTCTGTCCCATCTCTACACAGGATCTCTGGAGCTCAGTCAGTGACCCCCAGGGCCTTGGTCATTTCTCTTACTAAGGCCCTTCTCCCCAGATTGCTCCGTTTGACCGGGCGGCCAGCTCTTGGGAGAATCCTGGTTGTGCCAAAACCTCTTCCATTTGAGAATTATGGAGGCCCCTGTGCTCGTAGGAACTTTCAGCGCAGGAGAAATTTTATTGTAGCCTTCCACAGACCTAGGCCTTGCAATAATCCCGTCTCGGAGTTCTGCGGGGAGTTTCTTCGACCACATAGCTTTTGCTCTGCTACCGCATGCGTTGTCAGCTGTGAAACCTTCTGTAGAGAGGTGTCTGCCTTTCCAAATCACGTCCAGTCAATTTACAATGGGTAGACTCCATTCAAGGTGTAGAAACGTGCCAGCAGGAGAAATGGGAGCCACCAGAGCTAAATTTCACGTGTTGTTGTAGAGGATCTGAATACTTATGCCAGTGTGGTATTCGTTTTTTTTTCTTTTTAATAAATTCTAAAAGTATGTTTTCACTTTGTCATTGTGTGGTACTGAATGTAGATCAATGAGAAAAAAAATGAATTTCAACACCTGTAGAATCAGGCTATAGCATGATAAAATTGACCAAAGTTAATGGGGCCTGACTGTATGCACACAATAACGAGAGAGAGAGACAGAGAGAGAGAGAGACAGAGAGAGAGAGAGAGAGAGAGAGAGAGACCGTGTGCCCCCAGCTGTAATGGTGGCCTACCTCCTGTCTAAGCTACCCTGCATCCTACAGAAGCTACGCTGCCCAAAGGTATGAAGGGATTCCTGGCTCACTTTTGATACCTCCAGATGGGTCGAGATTGCAGGTGAGGAACTGGGGGTGGCTTCTCTACGTGGGAAATGAAGGCCAACATGGCCTCCCTCCCCTTCTCTTTGCTATCAACGCTTTGTAACAAGAAGTGCCGAGACAGGAAAGAGAAAGGATGTAATAATTCCTGAACACTTCCTTGTGAAGGGAACATGCTGCACCTATTTTGGCTAGCAGGGGTCAGTGTTGCTAAACTTTTACCTATCTTGGCTACCTAAATGCAAACCACACGATGGTTTCACAGTGCCTGGAATGCAGCACAAGCAGTTATAACCCAAAAGAATGGAGCCCTGGTCTTTGCCCAGAGCTGCAAATGCTTTGGGGACACAACACTGGTCCTCGTCCAGACTCTTTAATAACCATGTCACACATGGTGTCATTGCACAGGGTGACCCATCTCCAAATCCTTCCAGGCAGGGTCTCCAATCCAACCTTGGCAACTTTAAGGCTCGTGGACTCTTCAACTGCCAGAGTTCCTTTTCTAAAGGTTTCTACGGCCACTTTCCTTGTTAAATTTAGGTGGGTTGTCTTGACGCTTTGCAGAGCAGAATATCCGTCAGGGATCGTAGTGCAGTGCTTTAAAAGAAGGTGATTACGATCCTATTCTCCAGGGCCACATTAATAAAAATGGTTCTGAACTTTTAAACGCTAAGTTCTCTTTGAGGACTCTTTGGGGCCTACAAACTCAGCCCACTGAGGCTGAACTCAGCAACGCAGGTTGAACTTTGTAGCTGGGCAGGAAACTATTTGGCCCCCAACCCAAGTGACGATGATTCTGAATGTTCACAAGAGTAAATGTCACGTGAACACCTAATGGATTTTACAAAGGGAGGAAAAAGGGAGGTGCAGAATTATATCACTGACCTTCAATCACTCCACAGCAATCAAGAGAACTTTAAAAGTTTCTTTTACCTCTGAGATCACGGTTAAAGTCGTGAAGTCTACGGATTTCGCATTCCAGCTTGTTTCTCATGGTCTTTTCCAGGGATTCCCGCTTGGAAGAAGACTTCTCCAGATTTTTGTAGGCCTCCGAGACTTGTTGGATTTCTGTTTCTAGCTACAACAAATAATTAATTATATGAGAGTAAAACACACACACAAAAACCATTCAGCAGCGTGTTCTCAGCTCTGAATCCCACCAGCCCCGTGTGCAAAGCTCTGGGAAGGGTTGCTGGCTGGTTGGCACAGTGCGAAGAGAAAGCCGCCTCTGGCCTGGCAGCTCAGCCCCAGAAAGGGTCCCTGTCACTGGGCGCACAAGGCCAGGCACAGGGACCCTGAGGTGGGCAGCCAGACTCCGGGGTGTCTGCAGGGGACGCCGGCTGGGAGCCAGAGGTGGCCCTGCCAGAGGGAGCCAGCGCACAAAAGCCACCCGACGACATGCATCAGCAACACACCCTGGAATGGTGCCTCCCTTGCAGCCTTCCAAGGAATTGTGAATCCACCTTCACAAGGAACGTTTCAACACCTTGACAAAACCTGGATTTGCAGGGTTTGAACATAGGGGGGTGAAGCTTTGCGCTATGGCATTATTCGCTTCAAACATGTTTAACGAGCCCAGTGGCTGGGCTGGCATTTCATGCTACGTCAAAACCAGACAAACTGCACGATGGCTCAGCATAATATAGGAACTCGGCCCTTGCCCCAAACGAGAGGCTCGTCAATCTCTGAAATGGGCCGAGGAAGCTTCGCCTCAACCAGGCCCGATTTTCATCTCCCGGGATTTCCCAGAGAACATTTGCTGACAGCCTGGTCCGAAAGGATGGGAGTCCAGAGTTAATGGCGGGTTGGAAGAAAAAACCCCGTCTGCAGCCAAGGAGCCCTCCTGGAAGCGCCAAGGCCTCAGCTCCAGGCTCTCTGCACCAACCCCAGCCGCCTGACACGGGGCGTTCGCTTCTCTCTCTCTCTCTCTCTCTCCCTCTCAAGATGCACCTATTAACGTAGCCCAAAATGAGACAAGACGGTCCAGGTAGCCCTCGGGTGACGTCCACAATTGAGCCCAACATTTAGGCGGCTAAGTGGGATGTCTGTTAAGTGAAGGTTGCCCCATTTGACGACTTTTCTTGCCACCGTTGTTAAATGAATCACTGCAGTTGTTAAGTTAGTCAACTTGGTTGGGTGAATCGCCAGAAGGTCGCAAAAGGGGAATCCCAGGACCCCCACAGGACACGGCAACCTTCACAAATACAAAACAGTTGCCAGGCATCTGGACTTCCATCACATGACCATGGGGGGGACGCTGCAATGGTCGTAAGCATGAAAAACGGCCGTCACTTTGGCTATGGCTTTGAACCGTCACTAAATGAAGTGTCGTAAGCTGAGGACTATCTGTATGCAGATTAAATCAGGACATGGAAGACGGGGGAATGCTGTGGAGATGGGCGATTTGCAACAGCGCTGGCTACTCCAAAGTACCATCCTTGTGATTGTCAAAAAGAGGGCTCCCCAAACGTGGCCGCTTTAAGACTGGTGGGCTTCAGCTCCCAGTTGACCAGCTGGAGAATTCTGGGAGCTGAGGTCCACCAGTCTTAAAGCGGCCCAGTTTGGGGAGCCCTGGTCAAAAGAGAAGCAGAGGGAAGACAAGGGGCGTTTCCCTACCTTTTGCAACCTGGCCACTTTCTCATAGCATCCGTCCAGCTCTTGCCGTAGAGACTTGTTCTCCTCGGAGAGGATCTCCACCATCTGCTGGGCCCTGGAGACAATGACATAGGGGTCCACCGGCATTTGCTGGTAGGGGGAAGGGGCGGGTGGGGGCCTGGGCAGGGCCGCGTAAGAGTCCACTTGCTGCTGTCCAGTCAGAGGCTGGCAGAACCGGTACAGGTCGCCCTGGTGGATCTGGCTGGGCAAAAAAAGCTGCTGCGTCCGGGGTAGAGAGAAGGGGTCCCCTTGGCTGGGGGTCATAGGAAGCTGGTGTTGAGACGGGGACAGCCTGGAAGGCGGCAGCGACTGCAGCAGCGTCAGGGACCCCAAAGAGGTCAGGGAAGAGGTCGGGCTGTGGTGGTGGGGAGGCCGTGGCTGGAATGGCAGCTGAATCTCCGGGTTTTGCCTGTCGAGGAGAACCAACACACCCTTTAGACAAGGACGCCGCATTTGGACCTGGACCCCCCCCCCCCAAACCCCTGTAGACTTCTTCTGCACCATCACCATTTGAGCTTTCCTGCTTAGACCTTCCTGAAACAGCAGAGCTCGTGTTGGTTGGGTTATGGTGCTAAAGGCGGTTGGGAGTGCATGGCACTAGTCCCAGCTTTGGATGCTCAAGGGATACCTACACCTTGACACAGGACCTCTTCCAACCAGTGATAACATGAACACCTTAGTTGCATGGAACAGACGTGATGAAGCTCCAGACTTACGTACAACTCTGTTTCCAATTTTGCCTGAAAATCTCAACAGGGTCAGAGAATCGTAGCCAAGTTGGTGACCAGGTGGATAAGTCTGAGCAGACTTCACGCACATATAAGACATCCATGGATTGTTTATAGGCGCTGTGCCAATACCACCATTTGCCACTGCCATGGAACGCGGGAGCCTTCGCTGCTGATTGGCGGTTGGATCGATCTCCGAGAACACCACCAATTAGCTGTTCTAGAGGGCGGGGATCGCTGCCACCGTTCACCACCATTTGCTGCTGATTGCCATTGCTGAATGGTGGCAGCGGCGATCGGCAGCGGCATTCCCGCCACCTAGAACAGCTAATCGGCAGTATTCCAAGAGGCTGAACCAACCGCCCATCAGCTGCTCAGCAGTGAAGCCTCCAGTGGTCCCGGCGGAGGCAGCAGTGGCAGCATTTCCGGTCGGCCAGCCCACTGATTGGCGGGGCTACGGGAGCCTGGGATCCAGCTGTTGCTCACTTGACCAGCTGGGGAATTCTGGGAATTGAAGTCCGCCAGGCTTAAAGTTGCCAAGGTTGGAGACCCCTGATTTATTGCATCCTGAATGGCCCCAAGACAGGGCAACAACTATTTTAAATCAAGAAATCCCTTTTGTAGCGATAGGGAGGCGGTGTGCAGCAGATCCCCTTCCAAGACTTGTAACGGCAGCTGCAGCTGCGAAAACAATTGTCATCTAATACTTCCCTAACCCTGTGAATGCAGACTCAGGCATACACCAAGATGCGCTATAAATCTGAATAATCCTTTTGCCTCAAGGGTGGCTGTTCTATGAATCTGAGATTGCCACAGATCATTTAGGGCTGTAAAAACAAAGGAAGACCTGGAAAAATTGGTAACGCAATCCCAACGTAGCAGCCATTTTGGCCAGAACAATAAGGTAGGTATGAAAACACAACAAGTCGCAACTTTGGACAGGTTAGACCACTTATTGATTCATCGTCTGGTCCCGCCAGGACAACGGTGGTTGTGGTCCACAGCTCACCTGAGCTACTATCTCACAGGTGCCTTTTCAGGTACCTGGTACCCGCTGTATCCTTCCATCCTCCCCCATCATCACAACGGATGAAGCTTGGAGGAGAAGTAAAACGTTTCTCTTTCTCCTCCTTCCTCAAGGAAAAAAGAAAGGGAACCAGCCCGGCTGCCTTTCCCAAAAAGCGCCTCGTTGGGACAACTATGAACTGGATGACGGAGGATCTCCAGAGCGACTCGTCTGAGCTAGTTTTTCAAGGTGGACGTGTTGAGGGAGAAAACAAACCAGCACCTTCCGTTTCACCTGAAAGTGACAGAGGTGACTGGGGGCTTCGCTAACCCACTTCCGGTCTGCAGTTGCAGGTGGGGCCTAAGCACCTGGGGTGCAGCCCTCAAGGTAACTCTAAAGCCAGCTGCGGCTAAACTGTAATTTCTGACACGACAGAAATAAGACCATAATTAACCCAGAGATTAATTATGTCAATAAAGGTCTGTAGGGATTCTCAGTCATCCGGGTCATGGTTGTCCCAAAGGTGCTTTTTCCGGAGGCAGCTGGGCTTTCACAGGGAACCAGGAGCACCACTCAGGTGGCCCCGAGGACACAAATAAACCTCCCAAGTGGCCTCAACGACTCCCTAAAAGGATGCAAATGACCAGCTGTTTGCAAGGAGTATAAATCCTTCCATTCCCCACCATCCAGTCAGAGCTGAAGAAGCTTTTTGGATGAGGAGTGAAACGTCTTCAAAGGAAAACAAGGAAGCCCAGTTGCCCCTGGGACAAGCATGTAAATACATTTTCATTAATTTGTCTTAAGGTGGATGGCTTTGAGTTTTCCTTGAATGAATACACTTAATGGGAATCAAGAGCATTTTATTTCTTTTTCCTAGCCCAAAATTACCGTGTTGTTTTTTTTTTGTGCTTCGACACCAAATATTTCTATTGCAGCTTCAACATTCTCCACAGATAGTCAATAAACCTGGATTCTCGGGTTTATTTAAACCTGTTTTATTGGAAGTTCTTACCAAAGAAGCTTCTCAGGCCTCGTTAAGAGTAAGGACAGGTTCATGATTTTCCTAGGCCTTGTTGGAAACAGGTTTTTCTGGAGGTTTGACTGAACCCTTTTTAATCATAATGCAAACTTCTGTATTTTCAATGTTTAATATTGTTCGATCAGTGTAGTGTTTTATAACTGCAAATATTGTAAACATGTTTACAGTATTTTTTTTTTGTAAAAAAAATTGCAATAGTTACAATTATTATGCTATTCTGGAAAAATATTTTGAAAGGTGAAAATTTAAAATTATAAGTGAGATTAGGTTTTATTATGAGTAACAGAATTGGAAGGGACCTTGGTGGTCTTCTAGTCCAACCACCTGCTCAAGCAGGAAACCCTATATATAGCAGGGGTGTCCAACCTTGGCAACTTTAAGACTTGTGGACTTCAACTCCCAGAATTCCTCAGCCAGCTTTGCTGGCTGAGGAATTCTGGGAGT